GCTTGCGTGCACAGGACAGGCAAAAGGAGCATGTCGGTGAGGATCTGCTGCGGACAGCTAAACGCTACGCCAGGGAAGTGTTGATAATGGAATGCGACGTGTCCTTCTCCTCTCCTCCTTCTCCTCCTCGTCGTCCTCCTCCTCCTCCCCCTCCTCCTCCTCCCTCACCCTCCCCCCCTGTCGTGCGGGTCAGCACTACAGCGCATGTGCGCGTCTCAGCGTGCACCGCACAATGGTCTATTCACTGGTGCCGTGTTAAGAGCACGCAGGCGTTGTGGTGTACACTGGTGCTTTGTTGCACACGGCTGATGTAGCGTACGGAAGCGCTGTGGTGTACACAAGCGCTGTGGTGCCAACAAGCAATACACTGGCGCTGTGATGCACGCGGCTGCTGTGGTTTACATAGGCGGTGTGGTGTACACAAGCGCTGTGGTGTACGCAGGCAGTGTGGTGTACAAAGGCGTTGTGATGCAGATCGCCACCGACATGCTGCTGCTACCCGTCCTCGGTGATTCCTAGGCATTCCCAGACGCCGCCAGCGCGAAACGTGACGTCATCGGCCCCCCCCACCCCCCCCAGATGATTGCCGTCATGGGCCCAGTATTAGCAAAAAGGCTCCAGGTGCGTCCGCGCGTACGACGACGATGAGCGACGAGCGACAACGACGACGACGACGACGACGACGACGACGACGACGACGACGACGACGACGACGACGACGACGACGACGACGACGACGACTGCGGACCAGACTCCTTTGCGGATTCCTATGCGGACACTGTTGCGGATCACGATGCGCACGGCGGCAGAGCCCGGAGCGCACTGGGGGGGAACGTTACTTCACAGGGGGGAGGGGGGCCGGGGGCCATGACGCCCGTCAGGCCCCAAGCAATAAAGAGACGGGGTCAGTCAAGCCTTGCGCACGCACGGCGCATTGACAGGCAAAACACAGATGGCGCCACCCTTCGGAGGGAGGGAGAAGCAGGAGGAGGAGAACAAAGAGACAAAGGTGGGAGAGGGGAGGGATAACACAAACGCCACGCTCAAAGCGACTTGGGTGAAGGAGGGGCTCTGCTTCTGGGGGGGCGCCCCGTGAACCCAGGTCGGGGAACCTTTTCGTGGCCGCGGCTCCCCGTGGCCAGAAAAAACCCTTCGTTCATTACAAAGAGAGCATCTAGCGTTCCTACTGGCATTAAGTCGGGCACGTCCCTTTACAGGAGGAAAATTCAAACATAGTCTGGGGACGATTTTTTGTCAGAACTTTTTTTAGCAGTGTTTGGCGATGCCCTTTTCCCTTACGATAGAATTCGCCTGTATGAGGACATGCCCGATTTCATACTGGCAGCGCGATGGCTGTGTTCGCAGTCCGCCGCGGCGGCAGCCGCCGCTCGCCGCCCGCTCGCCGGCCTGCGTGCGCAGGCGCGGGCGCTGCTGCTCAGAGCCGGCGCCGCGGCGCAGCGTGCCGCGGCCGAGGGCCTGCCGCCAGGGTTCCGCGTTGCCCGACGCTTTCGCTCCCGACCGTCACCGCCGGCGCGGTGCTCGGGCGGCGGCCTGAGAGAACTGCGAGAAGGTTGACAGCCGACCTCGTTGCGTTGAAGCGGATCTCGTCCTCTGGAGGTCGAGTTCGTCTTTTCTGGGGGATGGAAGCCGGCTTCGCTGCACAGTCGAGCATCGCCCCAGTCGCAGTCCTCCGGAAGCCGGGTCCGTCCTTTGGACGTCGAGTTTGCTTTTTTTGCTTTTGATTGGGAGATCAAGGTCGACGTCGCTGCCAAGTCGAGCTGTCCCCAGTGAGCAGTCGAGCTGCGGCCGCGCTGGCCGCACTGGCCGCCGCAGCGGCCGGCCCTGCGCTCGCCCGCCGCCCGTGGCGGGAGGCGCTGCGGGGCTGCGGCTGCTCGGCGTCTCGGCGTCGGGGCGCAGCGTGCCGCTGTGGGTGCGCCGGGCACGTCCCTCTCTACAAGAGAAAAAATCCAGAATTAGTCAAAACATAGTCAGGGGACTAGTTCGGACTGTTTTTTTGAGCATCGGGGGAATATCTTTTGAGTGTTTTTTTTTTGCCCAAGATCCCCTTGTAGGGGGGCAGGCCCGAGCTAACGCTAGGGTTAAGCCGGGCACGTCCCTCTACAGGAGGAATACTTAAGGAGGGTTTTACAAAGATAGTCCGGGGACACTTTGTCGTGGTCTTTGTTTGGCTATGTTTGAGCATTGCTTGATGTTGTTTCATCTTCTGCCAAAGTCCACCAGCAGGAGGACATGCCCTACCTAACGCCAGGGTCCCGTGCTGCCCGATTCTTCGGAACCGCACCGCGCAGTCGAGCGTTTTTGTTTTTTTCGGGGGCGAGAAACGGTCTTGTATCCACGGGCTCGCTGGGCGGTACCCTCGCCCCGATTCCCCCTGTTTGGGCCTCCTCGGAGGCCCCGTCGCCACCGCTGGATGCGCCTCGGAATTCTGGTCATAATGCACCCTAGGAGAGGTGCGGGGAGTAGCGGTATCGATGTTTTGTGGGTTTCCCTGGGCCCCTGGGCCGCGACCCCGCGGATTTTTGTTTTGGCGAATGCCCCGCGAGGAACGTACCCGTGCGACCTAGTATTTGTGGCATCGCGTCCCCTGGAGTCCTGACTGCGAGGGCGCGGATACGGATATTTCGCTTACACGAAGATACACAGCCCTCCCCCTGGTGGATTGTTCCTGGGCCTCGGGGGAGGGCTGCGGTGTATAGATCACCTCTGAGAGCCAGCGATGATGAACACCGTCACCTTCCGCCAAGGCAGCGGCAGAGTTCGCCGGCGGGTGTCTGTGTATAGATTGCCGTGGCGTAGATGTGTTCGCCGCACGTGCTCTTCGCAGCCCACTGCGGCGGCAGCGCCGGCAACCCGCCGCCGCCGCCGCCGCCGCCCTCTGCGCGCCCGCCCACGACCCGTGGAGCAGAGGCGCTGGTGCGGCTGCTCGACGTCGGCGCCGCGGCGTCGCGGGTGGCGCACCCGGAGCTGGGGCGCTTTCTGCAGGCCTCGGGGCTGCCAGAGAGGTACCGCTCCGTGCAGATCGGGCGTTGTGTAAGGGGGGTCGATGGGGGGTCGATGGGGGTCCCCTCGGAGCTGATCCTCGCCCCTCCCCACGGGAGTTGCGACACGTGCAGATCCAACATGTTATCTTCGCTGCATACCCTTGCCCCCCGGGGTGTTGCCAAGTGGCCATATGTTCACCTGAGCGGGAGGTTATGGAAGCTTCTACTCTCAGGTGGGGCCTTCACGTATTCGATTCCCGAGAAGGAAACAGCAAACACAAACAAGCATTGAGACATGTCCATGGGCACGCTTCGCTGTTCTTCTTTCGCTCTAGTCTAAGACAGCCTGGCACTATATGGCAGGAGCTGACCACACCAGAACACATCAAACTTCATGTCTTTACCCGACGCATACAGTCGGTTTCTCGACTCGGCGTTTCCCAACTTTGTTTGCAGAAGCCATCGACCGTAGCGCAGGGCAGTATTTTTTCGTCACGAGTTAAGATGGTGTACCGATGCGAATTTCTGGGACCTGATGTGTTATTCCTTGACGTTGCATCAGGGTGTCTATTGAATTGTGTTCCATAGTTCGACTAATGCAGTCCTAGTGGCCCAGTCCCCATCACGGAAGGGAGACGGAGGGGGAGAAAGTGGTATATATATATATTTACAGAGAGAGAGGGAGAGAGAGCATGCGAATGAAAGAGTGAGAGACATATAGAGTGAGAGAGAGCAGTAGAGAGTCAAATAGTGAGCATGATTATACACATAGACAGACATGATCGTTATGTGCGTGAATCTGTAACGTATATCTACACACTTGTTAGTTCATGTCCAAGACCTGTTAAATCTGATAGACCCTCCCCTCTCCCTGGATCCCGAATGCCATTAAATTTGCTGCCGAATGATGTTGCAAACTGTCCCCGGGTCGATCGATATATACACATATGTATGTTTGTGTATATATATATATAAGAAATAAATAGACCCCCCTCCGGCCTGGGGGCAGCCATTCCGCAGCCATCTGGGAAAGACTTTTGATACCCTCCCGATGCGCTTCCCAGAGGCGGCCCGGAGAGGCCAAGGGGGTGGGGGAAGAGGAGGGGAATTAAACAATTAGAGCAACACATGTTTGTATGTTTCCCAGTCGCATTCCCCCCCCTGCTGGTCCTGAACCCGGGGGGGGGGATAAGGGCGGGGAGCATGTGTGTATGTATATATATATACATACATATATTGGAGAGGCCTGACGGCCGGTGCCGCCGACTCTGATCGAAATGGCTAGGAGTTGGGGGAGGAAGCGGAGGATGAGGAGGATGAGGAGGAGGAGAAGGAGGAGGAGCAGAAGGATGAGGAGGAGGAGGAGGAGGAGGAGGAGGAGGAGGAGGAGAAGGAGGATGAGGAGGAAGGAGGGGAGGATAGGAGGAGGAAAGAGGTGGGAGGAGTAGGGGAGGAGGAGGAGGAGGAGGAAGTGCATCCTTTGTGTTGGCCCGCTCGAAGGAAAGTGCCCCCGGGAGTGTGTTATTCTGACTTGGGACGTGCTCCCGAAAGAGGAACTGGGTATCACGGGCGTGCCCGTCTGTTTTTTTTTGTTGTATTTTTGTACTCTTCTCGAGGAAAATGCGCCCTAGGGGGGTGGTATTTTGACTCGGGGCCCGCTCCCGGGACGCCTCTGCGGGAGGAGGAGGAGGAGGAGGAGGAGGAGGAGGAGGAGGAGGAGGAGGAGAAGGAGGAGAGGAGCAGGAGGAGGAGGAGGAGGAGGAAAAGGAGGAGGAGGAGGACCAGGAGGAGGAGGAAGTGCATCCCGTGCGTGCCCGCTCGAGGAAAGTGCGCCCCGGCGGGCGTCGTATCTGCCCCGCCCCCCCCCTCCCCCCCCCCCCCTGCGGGGAAGGGATCAAAGGGAAGGGGCTTCCTTCGACTCCACTACGACGTCGTTTAATTTCGCTTTGGATAGCGCGCTTGAGGAGGAGAGCCCTGGGAGGGGGAGAACGGAGACGA